TAGTTATACTGAATTTGTTTTAAAAGTAAGCTTGAGTAATATGTTTACAGAATTTAGTTGACTAGAATGGAACTCATAATAAGATGTGAATTAAGTGTGAAAAAAGTATTTCAACTGGACAGTGGTCAAGCTATGTGTTTCATGGACGAGAAAGGCTAGTTTCCAATTTGGAGCTGTTGTTAGGATTTGTAAAAGTACATATCACTAACACTTGTAGATATCTTTCGTTGAGTGAAGCTATCAGTCATTCTATTCATTGAAATCAGTGATTGCGACTTTCTATCAGATTTCATCACTTCTATCGGATAAGTGAAAAAATAAAACGATAATATTAACTGGTGTTGTCATGAGGTAATTACAGAGGATTGAATAATTTGAACTAACGTCATTTTTGCGTACTTTCAAGATTTTTTGAGCTGTATTAAAGATCCGTTACGCATTGAATTTGAGGTAGAATTTTGTGATACGAAAACATGGAACAAGGGAATGTGTACAAAGTAAACATTGAAATGTTGAAGCAGTTTGCTCTCAGAATGGAATAAGCCAAAAAACAATAAAAACTGATCGTTGAGAAATTTATTTGTGAAGAGGTAGAAAAAAATATTTACGAAGAGATAGAAAAATGTCGCAGATCTTTTGTCAGGAGAAATCTATTCATCCTCACTCATCGATTTCATGCTTTCTTTTATCGCTTTTTTTTCGCAATCGAAAACCATTTTCTTTTCTCTCTTTGCCGTTTTCGAAGCGGTAAGATGGAAAAAATGACGATTTCATAAATTATTTAAAGGGCTTTTATATTTCATTTCAAAATGATTATGCCATGATGGCAAAGGTGAATTATACTTGCATGTCAATATCCTTTGACAATTATTATGTTATAAAAAGATCCAAATTTTGGAAACAAATGCTCAAATTTATCTGGTTCTCTGTTAGATGGCTCATCCAACAGTTTTAGGAAGAATTTAAATTGAGGATGATTCTTTTAGGTTTATCATAGCATTGCAAAGATAGCGAAAATTTTTATATTTGCATATGGACTATTTTATAGAACGATTTAGGAAGCCAACTGATTTATTATGAAGATATTTTTGATGCTCTGAGTAGGTGTTTGATAATTTAGAGATTTGAGACTTATATCTGAATTGCTATCATTATCATTGAAATTATTTTAGTGATCATTCCAGTATAAATTTTTAATAAAATTTCGTCACTTACCATGAACTATAAAGACTTGACCGCCTGATAAATTAAATGGTATGTTTGAAAGGTTAATAATTGGTATCGTTAAGCTCTTATGAGATCCGTACCATTAGAAAATATAGTAGCAGAAGTAAAAGATTTAGTAGATTATCAGATCAAATAACTCCGCTGATCCTTGTAGAAGACTTATTAGAAACTTACAGCATCTTAAAATTAATTCTGTTAACTAAAACGTTTCTATGGTAACAGTGCAATATATTCTCACCAATATTTCTTCAGTTTATAAAAATCATTATTGTTATTGCTATTGCAACTTATTTATTTAACAAGTTTGTATTTCGAAAGATCAACGTGTTACTCTGACTTCTCGTGCAACGAATAAATAATGGCAGATGAAGCACTGATGAAAGCTGGTCTATATGTCGACACTTGCAATAAAATGCGCCTTTTACAGCCAGGTAATTCACAAATCGTTACATTCTCAGCTGTGCCTTTTCATTGGCTATAAGTAGTGATGGATAACCTACTCCATCTAATTATACCACTTGTTTTGGCGAGAGAAGAAATTGCTAGCTGCAAAGAGAAATTTGTAGAATTTGGAGCGTAATAAGAATTGTAAAGATTTGATTTGTTGCAAAGTCGATTTTTTGATTTTATTGATGTGGTGTGAAACTTGTGGTGATTTGTAACTAACTTTGATATGATATATCACATAAACATTGCTGATAAAAGTAAGATTATACACCCATAAGAACAGGTTATTTTTAGATGTAGCGGATGCTTCAAATGAAATTGTTGAAGAAGCAAGAGAAATTGTGAATAAATTGAATAATTTCAGTGATGCTACAGAAGCAATCATCAAAACATTTGATGAAGTAAGATTTTAATAAATAAATGTGATATTGAATTGTTACAGAAAGCAATGACATATTACGAAATGAAATATATTTTGTTTAATTTTAGCTGGCGATAATCGTGAAAGGCGAAAAAATTCGCGCGATGTCATCCAGAAATGCTTTGAAAACCGCTGACAAACAACACGTCGCCGATCAGCAACGGTTGCAGGTCTAATATGATTTCAAATTTATCTTTTATTTTAAACTAAGAACTGTGTGTTAAATTTTGAACAGTCTTCAAACATATCTTCCAAAAAAATTGATAATGAAGAATACTTCCCGTTTTCATTTTTCGACTTCAAATCTCTGATTGCTTCTATAATTCTAACAGATTCATAATTCAATCTGATCCCAACCCTATTTTGGTTGAGAAGTGAAATATTACTTTTTAACATTATGCTTAAAATAAATAATCTTTTATCCTTTTCGAACTTGCTTCGTTTTCGATATTGGTCATTTTAAACAACATATGTTAAAGAAATATTAAATGAAGAAAAATTTTTGCAGATTCTGATCCGAGAACGCGAAGTGGAACTGGAAAGGTTGCATGTTGAGTTAGAAAATACTCAACGGCAAGAATATGCCCTCAAAGAATACTTGGAGAAATTTTTATCACCATAAATCTTTCATCTGTGTGAAAGGACATTTGATTTCGAATTATATAAAATACATTTTTTTTTTGTCCTTTCCTAAGATTTAAACTTATTGAAAGAAGTAACCTTTTCTTCCTTCTCAAATCATTTCCATTAACTTATTCAACTGCTCACGTCGACCAGCAAACTGTTTATTTCTCGGTTTGACATAAAGACACATGGCACTCTGCACACCATTTCCACTTTTTTGTGATTATTGGTATCTTTGATATTGCTAGATGATTTTTCATTCAGAAAAAAGAATAAAGGAAGCTCTTCATTTAATTCAATAGTTCCTAAATTCTAACTCATTAATCAAAACATGAAACGAGAAATACATTTGAAACTGCAATTTTCTTTCTATTTTACTTGAATGTCTTAATAAATTAAAAATGTGCAATCTTCATTAAAACTATTTCTACCTTGGCTTAAACAAGCACACCCGCAACGATCTACATTCCTAATAATTATTACATTCCCAGCCCCGATGTATGATTCATTTCCATTTCAATCAATCGATTTGAGGATTCAGAGCAAATAATTTAACTTTATCTTCAGATTCTGGATAATCACCAATTTTCAGGAAGCTCAAATGTAGAAAGTTTCTATAATGAATTTTTAAAAATTGATCAAAAATAACAAAACTGTAATGAGAAATTCTGTTCTCAGTTCAATTTAATAAAATGAACAACTCAACTTTGAAAAAATGTAATCGATCACAAACAGAGTTAAATAAAAAGTCACCTGTACAACAATTGGGGCGTTTAACATGCATTGCATAAAGCTTGCACATAGCATCAACTATGAAATAAAGCAGTCCGTCGCCCTCCAAACAGTAATCCCGAGTAATCTCAAATCCCCACTAAACGATATTTTGCGGCTATGAGATCTCGTTTCTACAACATCCATACTACAATTCCTACTCGAATTCCAAAGCTAAAATTAGCAAGGATGTATGCAATGTCAATATTTCTCGCATAATTAAAAAACCATAGGGTTGGAACTATTCAGTAAAAGCAGACATTATAACCAGCGTCAGATGAATACAATACTCATTCACAATGAATCAATTCAGCTATTTTCTACTTGTCCGATTCGGTTACAAAAAATAAACTCTCCAAAAATTTGAGTTTGTTAAAGTGTAATAGTCGAACACACCAGCTATATCTGTTAAGTGTAAGCAATGTGTCTCTGTAAGATGATAGTCCATAACTGCCGTCTGGATTTTCAAACAGAAAACGCTAGATTGGATTCATTAATTTCACATGCAAATAACAAAAACACATTTGATATGCTTAATATATTTAGTAATGAGCACAAATTTCCATCACAAACCTATTATTTTAATTCATCACATTATCTAGACAACACATCAACGATTACTGCCTTCATTAGCTTTAGGTAATATGCTCAAATTTTTTTTTGACGTAGCGTCTCGTCGCTGGAACACAGAAACACACATCATTGGTAATGCACTATCTAAAGTAAAGAGGTTATGCACTATCTAAAGTAACGAGGTTAAAGAAATCAACAATCTGGAAAAATCGATAGAAAACGTAATTCATTATAATTGCTCGCTCGAATCAGAATCTCATCACAAATCTCAAAACTTATTCCAATAAGATATTGATTAAAGGTAATTATATAAAACAAAAACATTGGTATTAAATATAATAAAAAAATAGAAAAGTAATCTAGGTGTTATTTGAAAATGAAAAAGCGACAAAAGTTTCCGCTCCACGATCACTTGCACGATTCGATCCGGATGCTATACTGTTTTTCCTGCTATCTCAAATCTTTTTGTACGATCCCAATAATATTTTGCAGTTAGGGCAAGTATGATTCACATCCTACAATGAAAAGCACTTTATGAATACGGTGATTTGAAGAGATCACGACAGTCAGATAACAATCGATACACTAATAAAAAGGCTTTGATCCAAAACTTAATTTGAATGGAAAGAGAAAAAAATGAATTACCAAGCAATCCTTAACGCAGAAAGGAATTAAGCAGCAACCAAGCCAGCAACTGTAAAATAAAAACTGTAGTACTATTTGCAAAACTGAAGTTTCTTCCAAAAAATACTAAGCATTAATAAGATTGATTCTCATTAAAAAATGCTATGTATATGCTACTCATATGCGGTAATAGTAGTACATCTCGACAAATTATTTGAACATTATAAAGTTAGAGATTCATTTTGGATTTGAAATGAAAATAAGCTCGGAAATCATTCCACTGACTCAAGCTAAATTCGACTCGTATGATACTTTCAAGAACAAAACGCACAAAATTACAAACCCAAAAAGTAGCAGTATTCCACAGATCGTGTATGCTAGTAAACCGGCACGCGTATGTGTTTCCGTAACAATGGCTTTATT